GGATAAATTAATAGTCGTTAATAACCGTGTATGTATCCATAATATATATACCGTTCGCTAATCCTCTACTTATGTCTAAGCTTTCATCGTCAAACTCTTGTCTCATACATGCTGCGATCAACTAATGGGTGCGCGTCCTCTCAAACGAGAAGGCCCCGTATGTCTACCTAATTTATTTTTTTTTTTTCTCAATTTATAATCGTAATAACTGACTAAACTTTTCACGATCAAGCACACGCGCATTCTTCCGTTCCTTCTCTTCCCTCTGCCCAACCTAACCTCGTCTTCCATTCCTGTCCCAAATCTCGTTAGCTTTGCTTTCCCTTTTACAAATATGCAGACTCGAACGGAACGAAACGAAAGGAATGAAACGCAAACCCGAAGAAAATTCTCCAACGTTACGCGTTAATCGTTCGAAATAAAATAACGCACCAAGTCATCTCGCCCCCCGCCGCCCCTTGTCCCCCAACGTCGAACGCAAATCCACGCAAATCCACGCAAATTCCCCTTCTCTCGTGACTCGCATACCCTCCGCGATTTCTCACCCCTCTTCGCCGTCTAACTTTCCTTCTCTCCTGTTTCAGAACGAAGAAATTTCGTGAACGTCAGCCACGGGGAACCGAATGGGAAAAAGAAACGAAGAAAGGAGAAGAAAAAAAAGAATTCGTCGACGCAAAGGTATCGCGAATTAATCCTCCCTTTTGTTTTTGTAACTTGGATGGAATCCGTTCCTTATTGGCATAAACAACACGAACGCGCGAGCTCTTTCGAACACGTTTAACACGAATCTCTGTTAACACGTCTCCCTCCCTATTTTAATTTTTGACCCTTTAACTCTTATTAGAAGTATCAACGTTCGATTATAATATCGTTAAGATTATCATAAAATTCTGATTTCTCTCCCTCCCTCATTCTCTCCCCTGCCTTCAATTATCCCTGCCATCGTCCTCTTTATTATCGTTTCAACACGCTGCTACCCCCCGATATCCTCCACTCGAAAAATATCTCTGAACGATGCAACGGTTTCTCTCTTTTATTCTTTCTCTCTCTCTCTCTCTCTCTCTCTCTCTCTCTCTCCTCTCGCATCCTTTCACGCATTACTTCACTCCAACACGGCGATTCGACCGTTTCCCCCCCTTTTTCACCCCCGTATCGCGATCTCGGCGTCCTCCCGATTGCCGGATCGTCGACGCCGATCGTCGACGCCTTCTTTCACCCCTCTCTCTTCGCGAAATGCAAACGACGGGAAATACGGTGATTCGAGCGAGGCGTTTCGGAACGACGACACGTCCGGTTTCGTGGGCTCGCAATGAACACATAACGCGTGGCAACGAAGCGAACGGAAGAGGTAATCGTTGCGACTCGAGTAACGCTAAATCGTTGATAGAGAAATCGGCGCGAGAAACGAGAAACGAGCGCGTCGAAAGGAGAGGCAAAAGAAGGGCAAAGAAGGGAAAAACAAAATGGAGTCGCCACGCAGCGGGGTGAAGCGCGGCGGGTGCGAAGCTACCCCCGGGTTCCGCGCCATCTTCGATGCGTTTCAACGTCTCGGCTCGCGCGAGAAAATCATTAACGTAGCTTTACATTCGCGGGAAATTATGCATCGCGTTCGCGTGTTAATAACGATATAAATATACGCGACGGGAAAGTGGAACTTTGACGGAAAGCCGGCGTGCATCGCGTGTTCCGTCGCGTTTACCCCGCTGCGCGGTCCGAGTCCGGTCCGAGAGGCTATTCGCTGTGCGCGGTGTGTTCGACTTTGTGCGAGGGGTCAGCAATCCCTAACGTTCTCTTCGCTTCCTCCTCTTCACGTTTTTGTGCGCCTCTAACGATTAATCGTCGTCTGCAACGATCTAGTATAAGTAATATCTTTGGTATCGTGCCTGAGTCTTCCATTCGCGCGAAGGATCACTAAGGGTTATCAGTGGAACCTTAATCGGTTAAAACGCGAACTCGATTTTTAGTATCGTATCAAACTTAGAAAACGTCCGTTTCTCCCCGACCCGAGTGAAAACAAGCCGTTAAAAATACGCTACCTACGCCGGAGGTACAATTAGATATTTTGCAACGACGAGAAGTGTCGGATCGGTTAATACAATGGCAGCTTCGAAACGCGCGGCTATCCGCGTCTTATTGCGTCTACATGCGCGCGGTTCCTGGTATTTACGTGTACGTCTGTATATGAGTATTCGTATGTGTACCTGGATGTGCGTGTGAGTGTAAATCGAGTCCCTTTTCTCGCGTCAACCTGCCGTTTCGCGCGCAGCACGCCTCGCGTTCCCGGTGTGCTCCTCCTCGCGTGATTCTTGGACGCACGGAAACGACAGTCTTTTGCCAGGAACGTGTGGATGAATCGCAGGCCATTGCGTTGATATCCGTTTCATTTTTCAAAACGTTTGTTCTCTCGAGGAAAGCGAGAGGAGCGTCGGGGGGGCCCGCTGGCGTCGCCTGCCCGCGAAACGGGACCAGCTTATCTCGTGTATGAAACGCGATGAAAATTTGTACTGTCGACAAAGGAAACCGTGTTCGTCGATGCCGATCTAACGGTACTCTAAGAACGATGAACGGGATCGAGGGGCCCGCCTGTTCGGGGAATCTTGTCAGTCTTACCGTTTAGGGGGTGTGTGTCGGGCGGGCCTTCGTTTCTCAATCGAAAAATCGTGCACCGGTATGCGATGCTGACCGGTAACAACTCGTCGGTAATAAGAAAACGCCGTAACAAACGTGCTAGTAGTCCGTTGTCCCGTGTGTGATCGGTGTAACTGTGTGCGTGGTGGTACGGGAACGAAGAGAAAAGCGAGAAACAAAAGCGACAAAATGAAGAACCAAGGGAATGAAAATGGCGCGACACTCTCGGCTCGATTGTTCACGGGAATTGGCTCACGGCAAAATATCGCGAGATATATAAAATACGCGAGGATCAGGAGAAAACGCGGAAAAGGAACGTAACGAACGGAGAAGCATGGGATCGAACGATTTTTAGGATTTTCGAGAAAAGGCGACGCCGGGGGTTCGACGTAAACGCAGCGGTAAATTCTCGTGAACAATGGATCGTGGAGTGCATCGCCGTCCGCGTCCATCGCGTCTATCGTTTGAAACTCGTCCAAGAGGTTCTTACCTCTCCTGACCCTTTCTCTCTCTCTCTCTCTCTCTCTCTCTCTTTCTCTCGCTCGCGCTCTCTCTTTCTCTCCTTCTTTCTCTCAACGCCTAGAAAACACCTCGTCATATAGTATATATCACATACGCGTTACTTCTAAACACACTGAAATAAGAAGCACTTTAAGATAGACGTCTACGTGTACCATCGGGCCCAGATTCTAGATGGACTGATTCTCGTTTCTGCCTTTTCCTATTTTGCAGCTCGCATAGAACTCTTAAACACCCTCGTACATATGTCATTTGTTTCTCCATTTTTGTATATACGCGTATTATTTACATACAAGTCCTATGCACCTTTCGTTCTTTCCCTTCCAACTTTCTCCCTCTTACGTGTCTCTTTCTCTCTCGTTAACCTTCTCATCAGACACCTCTCTTCGCGCACACTTGTCTTCTCTAGCTTTTCCTCTCCCACACTCTTT